GGGCAGTATAAAGTCTGATTTGCAGGTTATCGCTTTAGCTATATTTAGTAGCTGTTCCCAGCATGGGATTTCTTTAGAGTTGGATTGGATCCCAAGGAGTTCAAATGAAAAGGCTGATTATCTCAGTAAAATCATCGATGTAGACGATTGGTCTATTAACTTTAGAGTATTTCAGATTTTTAGATTTTAAATGGGTTCCTTTCTCAGTTGATAGGTTCGCATCCTCTCACAACACTAAATGCGATAGATTCAATTCTCGCTTTTGGTGTACAAACACGGAGGCTGTGGACGCTTTTACTCAAGATTGGTCACTAGATAACAATTGGTTGTTACCACCTGTATGCCTCATTGGTAAAGTTACGAGACATTTGGAATCATGCCGGGGTCGGGGTACCATAGTGATCCCATTATGGAGATCGGCGTACTTTTGGCCATTTATTTGTCCAGATGGAGTGCATTTCGCTGCTTACGTAGCAGACTGGATTGAATTGCCAAGCGATTCGAGCATTTTTGCTGCAGGCAGGGGCTCAAACACTGTTTGGCGGGAAACAGCTGAATTTCCGTATTTTGGCTTTAAATGTAAAGTTCAAAGGTGAAAATGTGTCTAAACATAGCCTTGCAGGCTTTTGTTCTAGTGATAGAGGGTGCTGTATTCTGTGCAAGCTATAAAATACGTATTTAAATTTTTTGCCGAGCACAGATAACTGTGCTGAGCTCAAATGACTGAAATAGTCCAAGTTTTCGTTTTTTGCTGTGATGGCGTCAGATAATGTATCTGGCTCGAGTGATCGAATGCGTCCATAGCAGCCTGTTTTTTTAAATGTTTGCCATGACAATGGCTTAGCCAATAGTGCTTGGCTCGATTGATCGACTGAGTTTCCATAGTAGCAGATTTTTTGCTTTTTCAGTTTAGTTGAATGTACACAACTCGTCATGTTTTCACTATTCCACCAGATACGGAGATGTTTAAATTGGGAGTCTGGGAAGATCTAAGATCGAACAAGGAACATGCTCATCTGGTGTCAACATTGGAAAGCATATCACTAGCATCAAGAGCGGACTCCACAGCTAAGAGTTATCTTAACGCATTTAATAGACAGGCAGAATTCGCCAAAGGATGCGGTTTCCAGGTATTTCCTGCCAATCTTTCCCACGTGTCAATATATCTAACTAGTCTGATTGAGGGCGCAATTCATAGCCAGAAGACGAAACAGTGCGTGGAATCGGCACGCTATAGCATTCAGTGGATGCACACCTTGGCCGGTTTGCCGTCACCTACTCAACATCCTTTTATCAAGAACATTGTGGAATCCTCCAGACGGTTACTTGGCAAACCACCGATCAAGAAAGAGCCCGTTACAGCAAGTATTTTGTGCAGTCTGGTTGAACTCTTAAAACATTCAGGTTCTTTAAAAGATATCAGAGATCTGTGTTTATGTTTACTTGCTTTTGCTGGTTTTTTTAAATATAGTGATCTTATAGGGATTAGGGGTTCAGATATTGTTTTTAATGACACGCACGTTTGCATCACTATCCGAAGCAATACAAATGATCAGTACAAGAAAGGCAATAAAGTTCACATTGCCAAAACGAGTAATCCTACTTGCCCCGTAGCTAAGTTAATTCAGTATTTCCAGGCAGCAGAGATCCAAGTGGGTTCTGTAACGTTAGTGCCTCGTATACATTGCCCCTTGTATTGCAAGAGCTACGGCTCCTCCTTATGTAATGGTATGTTCCATTACGCATGCGTGGGCATTCACAAATATCACTGTCGGGCATTGCTCGAGGTCATCCTTGTGTACAATCTTTATTCTTTTGAATACAAAGTCAAGTCATGGAGCTTGGTCAAGTAGACTTTACAGGTTCTGATGTTTTTATTTTCAGGCCTCTATACTATAGGAAAGGGGGGGTGCTCATTGATCCGGGCAAATAGGAAGTTAAGTTATTCTCGGGTTCGTGAAATTATCAAAGCAAAATTGTCCCTGGTAGTGGGGGACGTATCCGGGTTTAGTACCCATTCCTTCAGAATAGGAGGCACTACAGCAGCCGCACAGGCGGGTATATCCGATCGAAATCTGATGAGGCATGG